CCCGCTTTTACACCAAAGATTTATTTCACCAACTATTTCAGAAAAACAAAAGAAAATTTGAAAAATAGGAAAATTTGGTTTTTGGGGGTGCGGGCTGAAAATTTGTTAGAATGTGTTGTCATTAGCAAAGAGTTTATGTGCCAAATTTAAACAGCTCGATAGGTTGACAGGTCAATTAGGCGTTTGAAGATTTGTCAGCCAGCCAGCCAGGAACAAAAGTGAAGTTAATATAAAGGATTTAAAAAGGCATTTTAGAAATCCAATATGGGAACTAGCAACAATCACTAAATCAAACGTCAAATCTTACATCAACTTGCGTATTTGGGTCATTAGTTGCACTGGCCAGCCTTTTCCGCCTCCTTGTCAAAGGGACGTAAGTCCCATTCTTGATTTCCTCCTGTCGTACCCTGGCAAGGTAGTAAGCATTGGCCAAACCCATCTCAGTTTGCTGCTTGAAGGCTGGTGACTGGATATTTGCACTCAGAGGAATCCGAAAACCTGAGAATACAAAAAATTAGGAAAATATTTGCATGTCAGATAGTCTGAGCCCAATTCCATGAATTTTAAACAGAAAGATTACCTAGTTTCCCATTGAGCATTTCTCAGAAATGAAACATTCAGATATTGATGCTTTATGCGTAATGCTACACAGAACTGCAAATTAATATGATGTCCAAAAATTGGTGTTTTTTTAAAAAGAATAATTTGCATATTAAGGAATGACCTATCAATTTTCTTTCCAATTATTACTGGGTCCTTGAATGATGATTGTTTTTTAAAAAAATAGGTCCCAAAAAAACTCTTTCTTAAAAAAGTATTTATTATTTTTATAAGATTTTGTGATTTGACTTACGTGTGACTACCCAAAACTCGGTTTTGTTTTTGCTGTTCTCTATGGTTGGAACTGTGGTTCCTGGTGCTGGAGTGGTTGGTGTGGGGGTGACAGACGTGCTTGGTGGCGGCTCTGATGATGATGGGGGTGGTATGGTGGAGGACAGGAAGATGGTAGAGGACATGATGACGGTGGAGTTGGATATTTCTAATTCAGATGACATTACTGACACCTGGGATGTGCTGAGAGTTGGTTCAATGATAATGTCCCTTGAGCTGGAGTTAAACATGAAGGAGCTCTCCTGGAAAAAAAAATGAATATAAAAATTTAAAATCTCACTGTATTGATTTAGCCAGGCAGTTTACGTTACAAATAAAAGCATTTTCTGTGACAACAAAACCATCTTCCCCCATGTCAGAAAAGAATGTTCTATAGTAAAGTGTTGTCTTTGTACTTAAATAACCCTCATTATGACATTTACTCATCTAGTGCTTTTTAAAATCTCAGGACACTCCCAGCCATCGATGATAGTATATCTAGAGGGAAAACATCTATGAAACCCAGAATTTGATTGTTATGTTCTGTATTGATATGTATATTTTTTGAAAAATACAGATGCTTTTTTAAAAATAATTTTGAAGAAAAAAATTGACTTTAAAATGATGCAATGCCAATTTTATTTTTAAAATTCATTGTAAAAGATTTCTGGGTTAGATTTATGGGGGCTTTAAAAAAAAAGGAAAACATTTATCAACTTTTTCTAAAATTTAAATATTTTTATATCTTCCGAGATAATGTGCACATGAATCATTTTTAAAAAATGAATATTTTTTAACTTACAGTTATCATTGTAGGTGTCACATCTAAAGCACTGGATGATGAGGTAACTGAAAAATCCATCGAGCCATTCATTTCTAGAGATGAAACATGAACTGATGACATCCACACGGGTGTGGTTAACTGTGACTCGGTTG